CCTCGGCGGTATTTCCAAACCAATACGACTTAGGGACCTTCAAGAAGCGAGCATACCATTTCCTTAAAGGCCGGCAACGCATCTACAGTTCCTCTGGTGTTGCAGATGTCCATGGGTGTCGTTGATCGCCTCGGTGTTCTCGCCGCTCGTTTGCCCCCTTCTCTTATAAAAAAAAACTGCGAAAAACCATTAGAAATATTGCCAAAAATCATATAATATTCAAAATTTCTTAAATTAAAGTTACATATAGTGATGTTATATACTTTGAGACGTAATATTTTTAATAAATGCTTTTAACTGTAATCAATTGAAAAGTCGGTCTCAATAAGTTACATCGGAGTAATTTTTTACTTGGGTGCCGTTTATTTGCAACATGGTGATCCATTACTTAACTTATACTTTGGTGGAGGAATCCGTTAATAATGAAAGTTGTAATTTACTTAGACCTGAATCCGTTTCGTTATTGATCAGGTGAAATTTTCAGTGGCATTGACAAATTGTTTGGATTCCCCAATTTTATACGACCGGCGTTGTTACTGTTACTGCTGGATTACTTGAATTAACCTTTATTTCACTGTTATTTGTTTGAACGTATCTTCTAAACGTATCGATTAATTATTCATTTGTTTCATTTCTTATTCGATATTATAAATGCGAATGTTTGTTGGATGTATGTTTGTTTGAAGGTATCTCCAGAACGGCTGTATGGATTTCGATAAAATTTGGCATACATATAGAAAATAGTCTGGAACCCATAGTTAAGACGAAGTCGCAGGCGGGCGCTAGATAAGAATACTGTATCGATTATTGCTCTATTTTGGCTAACGTTGTGTAAAATTTACTTACACTATGAATGGGTTTAATATTTAAAAAAAAAACACCATAATTATATCGTATAAAAACGAAGCAAGGCCTAAGTTCAATAAAACAAAACTAAGAAGAAAATATTATCTTCAGAATTTTTTTTTAAATAATTCATCGTAATCTTTTTCCATGTGTCTTCCATCTTCATGACATCGATATATTGTGTAAACGGATATGGTATTTATTTCAGTGCAAACAGTACTGCGCATGGATAGTTCGAACGTGTGTCATTTACGCCTCATTAACTGTTGCTACCAGGGGAAATAAACGATATGAATATCGCTTTTGCTTAATACAGAGATTCCTGATCCGGACGAGAACACGACTACATACTAATGAAGTATTTTTTATTTGAGAGATTTGACAAACGAGAGGAAAAGTTGATGTAGGCTAAACTGAAGTAAGTTGGAAAAATTCGCTTTGCTTAATATCTCTTAAAGTTACCATTTAAAAATTACTGTGTTATGAAAAATCAGAACTCTTTTTTAAATGGCTGGTAATTACCTATTCCTTCATATCTCTGTTTTTTTTTAACCTTTTCTTGTCAGGAACTACTAAGGTTAAGGTAAGGCAGGTTTTTTTTATCCTCTTTATATATATGTACATCTTTCAGCTACTTTCTCATTTGTTCTAATGACACGTGTACATACACAGGTAAGCAAACACAACAGGACGCGTTATATCGAGTCAGTCCAGCGGACAATTTGCGCCTAAACAAATATTGGAAACTATGTTTGGTCACTCGTTTCACGATCCGCGAGAGACGACTACAGCTTTGACATTGTAACTCACGATGTACTCAGGGCCGGTTTTACCATGTCCGGCGCCCTGGGCGAGATTCTTTCGGCGCCCTTTTTTTTGGTGTTAGGGGAAATCTAAAGATGTTAATGCGCCTGTGGCGCCCCTTTGTGTCCGACTCTGTCGCCTTCCGCGCCCTCTTACGCCCGGCGCCCTGGGCGGACGCCCTTCCTAGCCCTGCTCTTACGCCTCTAGTGGATGTACTAACGTAACAGAGATATATTTTTATGTATTTATAACAAGTTTGTTGAAGTCTTTAAAATGTCGCCGTATGTTTTAACATCATATTTTCAGATATCTTTATATATATAATTCTTCTGTGAGTGTGTATGTCACTGAACTTCTCTCAAACAACTGGACTGATTTTGATGAAATTTTTTGTGTGTGTTCAAGGGAATCTGGGAATGGTTTAGATTCACAATTTTGTCCGCTGGACAATGTTTTTTTTAATTATTTTTTATCCCGCGCGGACGGAGTCGCGGGCGACAGCTAGTTTATATATATATATTAAAAATAAATGTTGATTTTTTATCAATTTCCTGATGTGCAAATAATCATCAAGTAATTGTTTGATTATGCGAAAACGGTTATTTTTCACCGCCAGGTAAAAAGTGCTATAATAAATAGTAATAAATTGTAAAGTGCATACCAAACTAAGTTAAATTACTCGCGAAGCGCTTTAACGGCATAATTTTTCATTTAGTGCTGATTCAGTGGCCATTTTGAGCTATTTATTATCGTTATTTGCTCAATGAATTTTCGAATTGTAGAAATTTTTACGATCGCTATTGCTTCTGTGGATTGCTACGTATTTATTAAAGTTATTCTGTTTTATTGTTAATAGTGAAGTTAACCAAACCTAAATAATAAGGCATTACATCAATCTTCCAACAGAAACAATTGTCAGAGTGTTTTTAAAAGGGATGAAACATAATAGTATTTTTCTCCAACAAATCTGATGTAACAATTCTGTAAATTTTCTTATCATCAGCTCACTATACGTCCCCACCGAGGGGCTCGGAGCCTACCCTAAGTTAAGGGTGATTAGGCCATAGTCAACCACGCTGGCCAAGTGCGGGTTGATTGACTTCACACAAATATTTAAATATCTTCTCAGATATGTGCAAGTTGCATCACGATGTTTTCCTTCACCGTAATAACGTCGGATAAATGCACATATGTAAATCGGAAATCAAAAACACATTGGTACATGGCGAGATTCGAACCCAGGACCTGCAGATTGCAAGTCAAGTGCTTGACCCCTGAGCCACCGATGCTCTTTTTAAATTTTCACCATTAATTTATAAAAGTAACAATCAATTTAAAATACAAAAGATAAGGTAGTCGATACTAGATATGTAAGCTTTTAAACCGTGTACAATCAAGTTCAGTGTTACCGGGATGCAGGCGACGCGGGTGACGCGGGTGACGCGGGAGACGCGAATGTCGATTGGATAAAGTTCCCAGCGACACTGATGTATCACCTAGGCCATCGATTTCACCTTACAGTTGTAAGCAAACTGGTTATCGGAGTTAGTTTAGTTAAAGGACCAGGGAAACGAGTGACCTGCTCACTTGAAGCTGAGCGATCACGTGACAATAACTACGTTACATTTTGAAAATGTAATAGTTTTGAAGACACAAAGATCCTCTATCAATTTAAGCTATTAACAAGAAGTATTTGATTCACATACACCTGGAATGATGATCCGATCAAGGTGACATGAGTATCCTGCACCACAGGACCACAGGTATCACCGCGGGTACCACAGGACAAAGTTATCTATTTAGCTTTTTACTGTAAAGAAATACTGGCTGTCGTCCGCGACTCCGTCCGCGCAGAAATAAAAAAGACCTAATTAGTAGCCTATATGTTCTTCCAGGCTATGCCAAATTCAGTGAGATCTATGCAGCTGTTCTGAAGATAACTTAAAACAAACGACCATCCATCCATCCATCCATCTAAATATTCGCATTTATAATATAAGTAAGATATAAGTTGAGCTAGCTTTCCTTTGAATTCCAAATGAAATTTACCAAAAACGTAAGTGCGACGTACATGTTTGACCTATAACAGGTAGAAAAAGCTCCATGATTACCCGGCCAAATGGATTCCGTGTCAAGGCCATAGCTAAGTTTTGCTAGCGCTAAGTAAATTGACTTCACTTAAGCACTCGTTGGCTGTACAAATATTTTTCTGTTGGGGAAACGCGTTCCAGTTAGACAAGCCTCTTCTATTTGTTCTATTCTTTATAATTCTGTTGACGTGTTCAAATAGTGTTTATGACGAGCTGTATTTGCCGTGGATGGTGAGCCAACTTATTTTATAATAAGCTATCGCCCGTGACTCCGTCCAAAAAAAAACTAATTAGCCTATGTGTTCTTCCAGACTGTATTCTACATATATGCCAAATTTCAGCGAAATCAGGTGAGCCGTTGCGGAGATACCTTCAAATAAACATCCATCCATCCATCTAAACATTCGCATTTATATATTACGCATTTGTTTATAACGGTTCTCGCTGGAAGAACATAGGCTACTAATTTTTGTACCATACGAACGGAGTCGCTGGCAACAACTAGTCGGAAATCTTAATCTGAATTTGTTTGGGAGATGGTGAAGAAAAAAACAAATTCAACGATAAAAGAATTTTATACTATAAAATATTAGATTCATTACTTTCACGTGATATCAAGTATTTTGTTCTAAAACCAAGTGTTAAAGAAACTAAATGTAAAAATCAAAGAGGAACTTAATTAAATTAAAAAAAAAAAGTTAATCAAGAGCAACTCTAAGCGATGTTTCCGCGCGACTTCAAAAGAATAAAAAAATGAAGCAGCAGTTTGTCTCGTCCCGCTTAGGTTGTACTGTACATACGCAAATTGAAATTATTGTTTACTTTATTTGTATAGTCAGTGGTATAGAGACTGATTAGAAAAAAAGTGCGGGAAACGTAGGATTAGAACATTTACAGTGAGTTTCTGAGACTGAAATACCCGCGTAAAACATATTATTTCAAACGATATATTTTAAACGGCGATTCCGGTCTTAGAAACGCACGGTAAATACAACGATCTTAATATTTAATTAATAGGATTTAATACTGGGTTCAAGGCAGTTAGCAAAAGACAACATACCAAATTAAAGTTTAAATAATGCTTTGTCTATTCATACTGTAATTGTTGGTTTTCTAGTAATAATTAAAAAAATATCACAAAAATTGTATGACACGTGAAGATAGGGCTTTAAATTATCTCATAGTGGTGTGTGCGTTTGCATCTGTGTGCGTGACTCTGCAGGTATCGGACGTTCTCAGTTCCCTTCGGGCCGTTGAGCTTTGAAGACGTGTCGAAAGTCCACGTCGCTCTCCACAATACGCCGCGTTATTGCGCTAATACGTAAAAACAATTTCGATTCACCCGTAATAAGAACTTGTGACTGTTTTTTCTATTTATTTTGTTGTATATTTTTAAATTTGATGAATTATTTTTTTTTATGATATAGAAGATGTAAGAGTTTTGAAAGTGTCGACGCTAAAGTAACAGTGTTAAAGTGTTTGAGTGCGAAAGTCGACATAAATTAAATCAATTAGTGGAAAAGGATGTACGAGCTTGTGATCTGTGTCTGTTTGTTAAACGATAACTAAAAGTGACTCTAAATAGAGTTTTGATACTCGGAAAATAAATGTAAGTTCTTACTAATTTGTTGCAGCTTCTTAAGTGTTTTACTGCAAATGTTTACCTCAATAAAAATACAATATTTAAAAATGTATAATATTTATTATATTTGTCGAAATATTTTTATTTTAAATTATTAAATAATAAATATAGTATAACATTTAAAAATGAATATTTTTCCTTTATTTTCGCATGCACCTGGCGCGTGGCGTCTTGACGTTTTTAACAGAAATAAATTTGCAATATTTTAACAATCAATTTTTATTTAAAATATGTCTTCTTTATGATTAAATAGTCTTATATTTTTACTATTTGTTTTTTAATCCATTCATTTTTGTCTAGTTCATTTTGAAAATGAAGAATTAAATAGAAATTTTATACATAATTAATTCATTTTTTATTTTATAATAGGTTTATATTTAAATTCTAATTTTATGATATTTTCACACGCACCTGGCGCGCGGCGCCTTGGCGTTTTTAACAGAAATAAAATTGTGTTAATTTAAAAATGTATTTCTATTTTAAAAATCTATTTTTAAGTGAAAATAATTTTACATTTTTATTAATTGTTTTTTTAATCCATTAAATTTTGCAGAATGATTTAAAAAAAGAAAATTAATAATGAAATTTAAAGCACATTTGGTAATTCTTTTTTAATATGGTTTATATTTTTATATTTCAATAAAGATAAAAAATTAAATTCTATTTTTATGTTATTTTCACACGCACATGGCGCGTGGCGCCATGGCGTTTTTACCAGAAATAAAATTACTTTAATTTAAAAATCCTTTTCTATTTTTAAGTAATAAATAATTTAACATTTTTGTTATTTGTTTTTAATGCATTCATTTTTGTCTATTTGATTTTAAAAATTAAAATGAATTATCAAGCAAATGTAATAATTCTTTTTTATTTTTCTTTCATATTTTTTTTAATGCAATAAAGTTTTTTAAAATATTATAATAAATTGTAATTTTATGTTATTTTCACATACACCTGGCGCGTGGCGCCACGATGTTTTCAAGTTTTTAAAAAATGTATTTTTATAAATTGAAATATTTATTTTTATGTGAAAAATAATTTCACATTTCTATTTTATGTTATTTTTATGCCTTCATTTTTGTTTAATTGATTTTAATATAGAAAATGAATGAACTTATTTAAATTTTACACATATTTAGTAATTCTTTTTTTTATTGATATTTTATTCATAATTAAACAAAGATTTATAAATATCAAATTCAAATTCTTTTTTTAAACTGTAACTGGAACTTATATAACAAATTAACGGTAAAGGAAGTATTTTGTGGTCACGACATGGATCATTATCGATATTTCTTTATGAATTGAACCTTCGTGTTTTTATAGAATTTAATTCTAAATTGACCATTGTGGCATTGGATTGTACGATATTCTTTTCAAGTGTCACTCATACTGATATATCTACCTCGTAATGTGATACTATTCGAAAATAATTAGACTTAATTCTGTCGTTAGATGGTTGGTAGAATCTTACTAATATTGCAAATGCGATGGATGTATGGATGTTAGGAGTTATTTCCAAAAAAAAAAAAATCAAGATCCATACAGCTTCAACAGTGGTAGAGCCCCCTATAACATCTTCGCACGAATTGTCCCGACTCACCTTGTGAAATACCACGATCAAACAGAAGACAAGCGTCAAGTGGAAGCAATTCCGCGTACAGTCTGATGAAGTGTGCGTCCCGGAGGCCTAATTTAGTCCTCTTTCTCTTCCCACCGATTTTCTTATAAGGAAAGGATGGGAAGTGAAAGTGGACTTTCCGGATGAGAGGATGCATGGAAAGGGAAAATATTTTCTCTCTGTGCATCCTCTCCTCCGTCGATTAAAGGTAGGGAACGCATATGCAATTGCGTATGTCTATAGGCAACGGTCGCTCGTTTGTAATATAAAAAAAGCTATTCTGGAGATATTGTCAACTTTCGCTTTTATAATAATAGTAAGAAGTTTTTTTTTTGAATATCCGGGTCTCTTACTTTGTCAGACAAAAGATGAAAACGATATCTACTATAATATCTAAGTGTTAAAAGCAACGCTGTGAAAAACCTTAACGTAGTTTCACGTTAAGATTTTCTTTCAGAAGTTAATAGAATAAGAAGTTACTTAGCGAATCTTATAAGATATAGAAGAATTTAATTAACTAGTATGAAGTATAAGTTTGCGTTATTTTAGTAGCTAAAAAGACGTACTAAATGGTTCTTGATAAGATAAATCTTTTAATACGCAATTTATGTACGAGTTATACCTTTTTTTATATTTTATGTGGATGTTAAAAAATTAGTTAATTAGTAGAAGATTAATTTAAGAGTCAGTATTATTGTGTGTTTTAATTTCTATCTTACTTGATACTAGAAGCGGAGCTTTAGATGTATGAATGGATGGATATTTTTACGTATCTCCTAGACAGCTAACAAATCTCGCCGTAATTTGGAATAGATGTAGGACGTAGTCTGGTAGAACATGTAGAATACTATAATAATTAAGTTTTTTTTTAATTTAAATTGTCGGAAACATGGGCAATAATTAGTACTAAATAAGATATAGTAAGTAATAAATTGTATTTGGAATCCCGTAACGCTTTTAGTAAATTAACACACAACACCAATGAATTTGACAATTACTATTAAAGCCATTGAATAAAACAACTCAAACGACAAACCTTGTTGAACATTCGTGCCGCTGTTTAACCAAAATAACCAAGATATAACCGAAATCGGCCAAATCACCGAAAACTTTGTCACGTAAAAAGCGAATGTTCCCATTAGTGAACACAAAACAATAGCTAATACAAGTTTAATCGTTGCACAAACTCCGGCAACCTTTCAAATGTTGCCCGAAGGAACGACAAAACATAATCATGACAGTTAATTGGGGGAGACAGAGCCAATAATAATTTGCCCCTTGTATTACATGCCAGAAATCTGTTCTAAACTTAATAGTTTCAGATTCGATGCTAGCAAATCATTGTCATATTGAAATATAGGAAAATCTTAATATATCAAATACAAGTACTTTATAGGGAATTTTTAGTAAGACGTCGTTATATGTTGCAAATTTAAATCCCACATTTAAAAGCAACTAACGCCATCTCTGTTTCATTAAAAGACACCATTTTAGACAACAACGCCATCTAGTGCATATTTTATTTACAACATGTCACACAATATTTTTATTTTAGATAGCAGTTTCCCGCGAACTTATCGAATGGAATTTAAAAAAAAATCTAGTAATAAATATAGCTTATGTCACTCGGAGATAGAGCAGCTTCCTAACAGTGAAAGAACTTTTCAAAACGGTTCGTTATTGAAGCCTGTTCAAAGCAAGTAAACAAATCTTTACTCTTTATGTATCTGTTATTCATCATTAACCTGCCCTTATCCCTACAGAGGGTCGGCACAGTATGTTCTATTCCATACATCTCTATCAGCCGTTATATCTGAATTCAGACCATTCTTACGCATTTAACGAATGGGTTTCAGATGCGTTAAATAAAAACAACACTGTAGTTGTTACAAGGTTTACTCGTAGCACAAATAATATTTATAACATTAGTAACAGCAATTTCTTTCAAACCTATAGTATCCAACAAGTTATCCCACGATCGGTATTTAACGGCCACTCCTCAAAAAAAAACTTCGCCTTGCCTCTCGCGCCCGATGACCTCCGATCGCAGCTCGTCACCGTCGAGCGCGAGTCGGGCGCTACTAGCGCCAATGTAACAGCCATACGCACATCCTCTTTCACACAATCCATCCATACTTTGTAGTATTGGTGATAAACGTACTATTTTGTTGTTTATTTGTCTTTCTATGCCGATTCTACTGCCGGTAATAATTCATTATGATAAATTGCAAAACACATTTCAGTTAACAAGCCATAATATTTATGATGACGTTTAACAAGAGCAATTAATTATATATGTAGTTATAACGCGTTGCAACTAACACGTTCTATATAGCTTTATGATGTCGAGGTTAAAAAATAAATGAATATGTCACAGCCATTGAGTAATATAATTCGAAGATATATGTTGATTCATCATAATATTATGACATAGTGATTTTATTCAGATTCCAGTTAATATATAGTTTACAAGTTAACATAAATTATATTTGAGACAAAATTAGTTCCCCAAAATTTTTTCTAAAAGAAAGTGCCGTTACAAATAGTTAAAAAAGATTTCAATAGGGAATACGATAAAAGCATAATTGAATGAAAACACTTGCGAATTTCTTAAAGTTCGCCAGATGTTTTTGCTTGTCGATTCCGTGTTATTATAAAAACGTAATTAGTACAACTCCTCAAAGGTAATCTTGGCAGATTAATCGTCTAAATTGCCAGACGTAACTGTCATGAATATTCGGGCTCCGGCAATTTTCATATTTTCTTTATTGTTCGAGTAACTATGACTGAATTTTGTGACTAAATAACTTTATCCCCACTCATACATCAGAGGACTTTTACGTTCGTTTACGAATGTATTATACTACCTGTCGCCCGTGACTCCGTCCGCGCGGATTTAAAAAACTAATTATAATAGTAGCCTACGTGTTCTTCCAGACTATGTTCTACGTCTATGCCATTTAGCGATATCCATGCAGCCGCTCTGAATGCTTCCTTCGAACATCCATCCATCCATTCGCATTTATAATATTAGTAAGATTGATACGATGTTAGCTTCTAATGTGTCAATCTTTAACGTTTAAATCAAGTCCAGCGATCCTTTGATTCCGGCATATTTGAATCGGATATTGAGTTTATTTCTAATAATATCCAGAGTAATTAATTCGCAAAGGTCACGTTACCCGAGCGGTTTTCTAACGTAAATGTTATGTTTAGAATTTAATATTATAGGAAAGGAATTTGTCAAGTACAGTACTCAATTATAATAAGCATTTATGATATTTAGTTCATTTTGTTATAATAAAAAAAAGTCTTGTGAAGTTTTTTTACCCTACCTATCTATGTA